CCAACTAAATGCATGCAAATGCCAGTGAGTACGCCATGCAGTTTGTGCTGCTGTAACTTTAGAGCAGGTGTTCGTGCTGTTAGTAAGGCAAAGCTTAACAAGTTGCATATATGAAAAGATGTCTTCAGCAGATAATCTACTTAAAGCAAATAAAGGAAACTGTGAAAACTGGTGCTTCCACAATATTGTCATGTGGGTAACCATATGAGGGCCAATAAAAATATCGGGGTGGCACACGCTTCTGTTTCTGTCTATGTGTGTTTGAGGGCACCTGTGGGTACAGGGACACAGTGGACAGCAGGGGACAATAGGAAATCATGAGGGACATACAAAGTGACTTAGTTAATGTTTCAGCTGGATGTTTTCCTTTCTCTTCTGTTCACATTTATTAAAATTATTACCAACACAGCCTTGCCAGGGGGGCCACTGGGAGAGCCAGCACTGAAAGACACCTCCCCCTGACTGAGTTAGCAGGCCTTAATAATGCACCCCTCTGTTCCTCAGCTTTTTGATACACAGGAAAGATGAGCCAAATGCAGACGCCACAGACAGGTTAACTAAGAGAAGTCGAGTTTTATTAGAACCTGTTAAGAGCTTATGTAAAAAACCAGTATCTAAAAAAGCACAAGGTCAAACTGAAGTCAAAATGAACTGATAATTGACAAGAGAAGACTAAAAGGACTGATTGGACACAAGTGAGATTAATGAGGGCAGAGAAGCAAAGGATGTAAAAAGACTGAAGATGCAAAACTCCCAAAACAATGAACTCTTCGAAAGAGCTGATGAAACAAAAACAAAGGGCACGTAAAGATAATAATACCATATATAAATAACTAAAAAAGGACATGTTCACTGATGCACTTAGCAGCTCCCATGGATTGAATCCACATGATTATTATCAAGCCTCTAATTTTAGTTTTACTAGTTAGTGGAACATGAGCATAAGACAAATTCAGCTAAATCTGCTGTATAGTTTTGGAGACTTTCCCCTCAATAAGATTTAAAAAGCCTGTATGTCCATATGCCTGTAGTTTTTAACAAGTTTTACAACATTGTCTAAACAATCTGAGACCCAGCAACAGCTTTGTTTGATATAATTTCATTTTAATTTAGCAGAAATTCATTCAGACTTCTGTAGACCACTACATCAATCCACAGTTGTAATAACTGAGGATATTCATCAAATATGTTAGCATAGTCATCTATCTGTTCACTGCGCTGCTATGCCAGTCCTCACTCATAGACCCAATATATTCTGGCTTATATTTTTAAGACTGTGCCTCCTTGCAGTCATTGCATTGTGAATTTTAAGGAGAACAGGAAAAATTTGTTATTTGTAGCTTTGCTTATTGTTTTCAAAGCCCAGTGGTGTGCCTGTCTCTGATTTATGTCACACCGTTCCAGGGATACACCTGCCTATGTGAGATTAAGCCCTGACACATAATCCCCAGGCTTCCCTCTCTTGGGTGTTTCTTGTCAGCCACCAGGATGCCCTAGAAAGGAGGAGGCAAGGCAGAGAGTAACAAGGAGTCTGCACAGCATGTGACAGAAACATGCAAGAGAAAACCACTGTGCAACAAAGACAATGCACATGCAGCTCCCTTGGGTTTTTCCACCGCTGGATGGAAGTCATTAGGTGTGCGGGAGACTGTGGGCACGACAGCATTGTGCCTTACTGGCGTCATAGTTGTCTTCTGTTTTTCCTCTTCTTTGTTCAGCTGGTCCCTTTAGCAATCGCCACAGTGGACTGTCATCCTTCACCTCACGTTACCCCTAGCGTCCTCTGTCACACCAGTCCTCTGCATGTCCTCCTTCACTACATTTCCAAACCATCTCCAAACCACACATCACAGCAGGTTTCATTGCGATCTTGTAAACCTTCTATTTCACTGCTATCCTTCTGTCACAAATCACCACTGACACTTATCTCCGCCCACTTCTCCCTGACTGAGCTCCCTTCTTCACTTCTTTTGTGCACTGTCCAGTATTTAAGCTCATCTCCCTTCACCAGCTCTACTCACATAAATCACTGTTACGCTCGTCTCCCTTTCATTCACACACATTATGTATTCTGTCTTGTTTCTACTCACTTTCATTTCTCTTCTCTCCCATGTATACCTCCACCTCTCCAGGCTCTCTTCCACCTGCTCCCTACTCTCACTACAGATGTCATCTGAAAACATCATAGTCCACGGAGACTCCTGCCTGACATAATCTGTCAACCTGTCTAACACCACTGCAAACAAGAAGGGGCTCAGAGACCATCCCTGATGTAATCTTACCCCGACCTTGAATCCATCTGTCACTCCCACTGCACACCTTACCACTGTCTTGCAATCCTACATGACCCTCACATACTGCTCTGCCAATCCTGATTTTCTCGTGCAGTACCACAGGTCCACATATGCTTTCTCTAGATCCGCAAAAACAGCAACTCCGTACGACCTTCTCTATACTTCTCCATCTGCTCTTTTATGGCATGAAGCCATACTGCTGCCTACTGATTGTCACCTGTCTTCTTAACCTAGCTTCAACAACAGTTTCCCATCGCCTCATTGTATGGCTTATCTGAGGAGATAAGCTCAGCCACATACTGTTTGTTTTTCATTGGCTGACTGATGTCTCCAAATGCCCAGAATGTGTCTCAGCTGTTGAAAACACCGCATTATGATGCAAATTTATTCAGCGACCAGCTGCTGTATCAGGATGATGCTGCAACACATCCTTGAAACTTTTAATGAGCTCACCGTTTTGAATAATAGGGACGGTGAGGTCACACAAGTCAAGATGCGCACGGGTGCTCGTGTGGGTGCGCGGGTTTCTTGTCATAATGGACATGCACGTGCTTAAGTGCACGCAAGTGCAGCTTGACATTGAGCGTTTAAGAACACTCAGCGGGCGGCACGCGAATAGGTAACAAGTCATTATCTCATCATGTCAGGCAAGACAAATACAGGCCAGGAGCACACCCACGCGTAGCTGAATGGCAACTTAAGAGAGGATTAACACCAAGTGGGAAAATGAAGCCGACTCTGAAGTGCCAAAAACTTTTTTCCACTACTGGCCACCAAAGGCTAGCTGCAAATGTGAGTCAAACCCTGTAGACTCACTAGCTAAAGAGGCCTGCAATAGAACATTATAAAGTATGTTAACAGCTTGTATAAGGTATGTTTTTGGATAATGACTGATAGCTTTTTTCTAACTCATCCACCTGAACACTAGAGTTATTAGCACAACTGCTTTAATTGGCAGGTGTCCTGACACAGGCAGATGGAGCCAATCAGGGTCCGTTAGGCCTTCCTTCCACTACTTTGAGATATTAAACTGAACTTCTTCACTGCATTTTTGCTGTTGGTGCCTTATGGGGCATTTTTAATAGATTATCTGACAAATAATATGGAATACTGTGTGATTAAAAATCATCCACATTAGCTGGAAACTTAGCACTCCACCCTCTCATATAAATCTTTGGGATCGGTGACAGTGGCCAAAATGGTGATGCTGAGGTTTCAGCATACGGAGTCTAGAAAGCAGCGGGTGACATCATAATGGTGACACCTATCTTTTATATACAGTGTGTGATCAGAGCTAGTATTAAGTACAATGGAACATTTCTGATATTTGCTACAGTAACGATGAACTGTTAGATGACACATCAGAAACAGAGTGCAAAAACTCTTAAAATGCCAGTATAGTGAAATTTAAATAAAAGAAAAGGTCTCTGTGTTTTTCTTATTTATCTCCTGGATTTATGAAAACAGGTTTCTCATATTTGTGACAGCAAGAGACAAGAAGCTCACATATCCTTTGACTCGATTCAAGATGCCAGATATTTTTTGCCATTCTTTGAAATGCATTTTTACCAGTGGTATTATTTATTTTATTTCATCCCAGGGTCACTAAACACATAAATGTGAGACTAACATTAAAATAAGTAGTAAGACAGGATGGCTACAGTCCAGTTGACTTCCAGCAAGAGTGCAACAGAGCATCTGCTGTACAGATGGCCTCAGGTGATCCAGCCCCACATGACCACAAAATCAACAGCACAACTCAACCAGCTCACCTCTGAGCCGTCTCACCACTAATTGATGCAATTAAACTGTCAGCAGTAGGTGGAAATCCAACTAAACGGATTGTTTGGTCTTGTGTGGGGGAGGGGAAGAGGAGGAGATCCTCCCCCCTACTTTGGTAAGAGCACTGAAATGGTATCATCTGTTAAGGTAGCAAATATTTGATCTAAAGAAATACTAACTAAAGCTTGTTTGATACTAGATTTCGGGGGACTAATGCAGATTTTTGGCAAATTAATTATTCTGGCATCAATATGCATTGGTTGATGTATTTTCTCTTTTGTGTGTGTCAACAAAGAAAATTTAATATTCACTGTCTTTCAGCTCCGTCTGCCAAGTCCTGGGGGAAATATGTTTCTTTAGGTGCTTAGTGCTGTTTGGTGCTCAGCAGGTAGCAGAGGCATATTAAGATATCACAGGCCCCGGGGCCACAACTTTATCAAGGCTTCCCAGCCTCTTTCCCAAACACTTCTCAAGTGTTTCCCAAGTTGCGCAAGCATCAGCAGGACTTATTTGTCATACATACAAATGCATCAACAGTCAGTCATGGCTGCAGTTTAATTATAGTTAACAAAGCATGCTTGTCTGTCCAGTCACGCCAAATAGTGATTGATGATGGATAACTATGCCAAATCTGCTGTCTGTATTGCTGTCCATGAATAATATTAGTTTATCTAATTATCAGTTACAATAAAATGTGTTTTCACCGAGTGTTTTTTGAGGTTACCTGCAATATTTTGATTTGATCACTGAATCCACTTGGACATTAAAGTCACGGCTACAGATGATGTTCAAATATCACTGTAGAAGTGGCCAGAAAATCTCAATATTGAGGTGAATTTAGAGCTGAGAGATTATGCGTGCCATGTAATCCAAAAAGTTTAACTCATTCCTATCAACTACCTTCAAAATACAAAGATAGCAATGTATGTTCTGTACAGTGCTAGGTTTATTAAGTCTTCAGTTTACGAAAAAATTACAATTTGTAAAAACAGTATAATTATACAGTGGTAGCTAAATTTGTATATATATGTGTGTCTATGAAGGGAATGCACTTAGGATCTGTTAGGAATTAAACTAAATATCATTGGTGCTAATTGAGCGCTGGACGCTGTTCATTTACAAAAAAGAAAAAGGAGCCTCTGTCCAGTACGAATACATATACACTGAATAAATATTTTGAAAAAAGATCAGTACATTGTGGAAGAAAAACAGCAATTTAGTGGTACAGAATCTGTGCAAGCCTTTCGAGGAATATAAGAACGTCATTTTAAGTAAATCTTCTTCATCAAATGGGAATGTGGCCCTCTGTGAGTCCTAAAGTGAGCAGGCAAGTGTCTTCTCAGAAATCTTCTTTAAAACAAGTGTAGAAAAGCACTTAGTGAGGACTAACTGCTTCAAGGTTTCCTTAAATCTATAAGCTGTCTAAGGACAGCTGCAGAACAAAAACAATGTCAATACTGTTTCAGTTATTATGAGCAAATCCATTTCTCCGGACCCTCAGGCCGTGTGTAATTGTTGTTTTGTTGGCACAAATTGCTTTCCCATTAAAGAGGACCATTAAGCCTGGAAGCATCTGAGCAGTGTATAAATCTCTGGTGTATAAAGTCCACAGTGTGAACCGGTAGTTCATCTCTTCCTGTTCCTGTTGTGCTTCACCATCTTCTTCCTCTTCAGGATCATCTCATAGAGTTTCTCCAAGCCCAGCTGGAGCCCCTGACCGTCCACAGCGCTGCAGCTCTGCACGTGATACAGCGTGTACATGCTCAGTTCATGAACAGAGAGCAGCTTCTCCACCTCGCTCACAGACAAGGCCGAGTCCAGGTCCTGTTTGTTGGCGAGAATTAGCACCGGGACTCCCTGATTCTCTGACGTGCGGGTGATCTTATGGAGCTCCACTTTGGCCTCCTCCATTCGCTCCACCTCGGTGGAGTCCACCACAAACACCATCCCATCTGTCCTGCGAGTGTAGGACTTCCAGAGCGGACGCAGCTTGTCCTGCCCACCCACATCCCAAATCTGGAAGTTTATTCCACGAGATGCCCCAACTGCCACTTTGATCTTCTCTGTGTTGAAGCCCTTGGTTGGGATTGTTTTGACAAACTCCTTGAGTTTGAGCCTGTAGAGCAGAGAGGTTTTTCCGGCCGAATCGAGGCCAATGACGACCACGTGTAGGCACTGGAAGCTTGGCAGGAACGGCGTGCTGGGAGCGATATCAGTCAGCTGGTTCCCCATGACTCCAGCCAGCAATTCACACCTACTTAGGTGAGGTGAAAGATTCCTGTTTTAATCCGTTCTCAGTGGATTGGCATTTGGTCCCTGTCCAAGATCAGATGGTGCTGGAGGCCTTATCAAAACACACACACACACACACACACAGGCTGGGTTAACATTTAATTAAAAGACAATGGGTGTTTAAGGAATGTTTGCAAACCAAGCTGCACTTAAAATGTTTCGCTACTACCGAGATGCTTACTTTACAATAGCAGTGTGTGTGTCTTCAAAATTTGAAATTTTAGATTTCAAACTATAAATGTGCCACATTACAGAGCTAAACATTAGTTAGCTGGTGTCTGAGGTAATGTAGTTTCTTATTTGCTAAGGGTTAATCCTCTTAAGATTGTTAAACCTGAAGGGCTTTTCCTGGGCCAGATTGATTTGAATGCAGCCGATGGATAACATGTATTCAGGGGGTCTCTCTGCTGACTGCCTATAAGGACTGCTTCAGCTGCACTAATCCGGTTGTTGTTGACATCCTGATACCCATCAAACAGCTGCTGTTTGGACTAAATAAAACCATTACATGTTTACAAGGGCAGGTTTTACCTTGTTTTTTTGTTTTTATTTTTCACTTTGACCCCCCCCCCCAAAAAAAAATAAATAAATAAATAAATAAATAATACAGTGTGCAAAGACTTTCATCCAGCTGTACTCAGCTTGCACAAGCATTGCCCTGTCATGTTTATTGACAGATGTTTTTATAACCTCGTTGTATGACTGTGTGTATATATGTGTGTCTGTGTGTGTGTATGAGGAATAATCCACCTTTTTCTCCAGTTTTCTCCCTCTCCTGCATGAAATCTCACCATCTACTTCATGTGACGACGTGTTTATCCTGATCGATATACCTCAAATAAATTTAAGAACTTCAACATCGTCTACCTATTGCGCTTGTAGGAATCCTGATATATTGGATTGATTGGATAGGATAGGAAAATAAAACATGCATGCAGTTTGCAGAGCCTGCACGAATCCCAGCATTGAAAACCGAGCCTGACCTCTCCTCTGCATATTTAAAAACCTTCCTACCTTTTTAGATGTTCGGTGAAATCATCATCCACAAGCGATAAACACGGCCATAGTTCACAACAAGCGATCTTCGTGTTCTCCTCCAGCAGCACTGAGAAGCTCCGGAGAGACTCGAGCGCACGGCACCTTAAGCCCGGGTGACGTCACGGCCACCTGGAGGGTTGCTGCTCCGCGCCCCCTGCTGGTGGAGCAGTGAATTGCGTGCATTCGGCCTGTCATGACCAGCAAACACTGATGCATAATAACGTGCATATAAAAATTAATACAGTAAAACACCCCCCAGTGTTACTCTTTCTTCAAGTGTGAGCAAGTGAAAATGCATTCATAAAACATCTACACAAGAAGAACAAGTGTAATTTCAAATACACGAGTGAGTTTGACCACGTTCCTTTAGTCTTAAGAGGTTGTGAACATAGAGTGAATAAAATTCAATTCCTGGGTGTGATAACAGATGACAAAGTTTGCTGTAAATCTCACATTAAACATAACCAAAACATTTGAAATGGTCATTTGTGTGTCTGCAAAAAGTCTTGCATATGCTTTTCAGAATTTGTGGCCATGCATTTTACATGTATTATATATTTTTAATCTGCCTCTTGTTAATGGCTCTCTTTTGAAAAAAAGAGGTCAGTGGAACAACCTGGTTAAATTAATGATTTCAAACAACTTGCTAGTTAACTAGCTCGAGAAATATCTTCACATGTATTGGTCTGATCCCCACCCCAGTAACAGCAGTACTGTTACAAAATAAAATTGAGTATTTATTGGCTTTACTGGAATTTTCACACTTGCAGTGGTTCAGGTTAGACCATTAACTTACAGAGACTCCAGAGTGCCCAAAGTGCCATAATATTAGCATGTCATACTACTGCATGAAGTGTGTGCCCATAGAGTATCACTCTGCAATGATACTTTGGGTCCACCTTGTGTAGAGTCAATGACAGAGCAGGAGAAAAGTATTGGTGACTTACTGTAGGTAGGGCGGACACTGGGTTTGGAAAGTGAAAAAAACATATATTTTTATCGTACATATTTAGACAATTTATACTTTTTAATTAGCTCTAGTTAAAAACATGACAAAAAGCATACTCACTAAAACCAAAAGGATTCGGAGAACAGCAGATGAAATAACAATGATGGGTAAATAACTAAGTACACCCTGTGATACAGTAGCTTGGACAGATGACCCCGCATTTCACTCGAGAATATGTTGGTATACAGAGAAGTTCATGGTGGACTCACTGATGGTGCTCAGGTCCAATGGCTGCAAAACAAACCCAAGACATAACCCCTCCACCACCGTGCTGACAGTGGGTATGAGATCTCTGTGCCGATGTGCTGTGTTTGGTTTTGGTTCAACTCTGCACTCTGAATTGTAACCAAACATCTCCACTTCGGTCTCGTCTGTAAAAAGCACATTGTTCCTGAAGTCTTGTGGTTTTCTTCAACTGTAACTTTGCAAACCTAAGCTGTGCTGCAGTGTTGTTTTTTAAATCAATTTCTTCTAGAAACCCTTCCAGACCGGTCATACTTAATAAGTATGTCTCTAATTTTACTATCATACTTTTAACATGTTAACTGAGCCCTGCTGAGTCTGGGATGTAGCTCTTGGCACTTTTGCAGTTTCTCTGAATGCTGCGCGGTCTGAGCTTGGGGTTAATTTCCTGGGATGTCCAGTCCTAGAAATATTGTCAGTTGTCTTCAGTGTTTTCCACTCATGAATAATCTTTCTCACTGTAGAATGATGGACTGACCTTATAATTCTCTCCAGGTTTGTAGGCAGCAACAATTGTCTTTCCTTAGTGCCATTGTGATAACACACACCTGATTGCTTCAGACCAGAAAACAGCCAAAACGTCTTCTTTTATAAAGCTGGTCACACTTGCTGATGATCAGTTAGTCAAATGCATTTGATTAGCAGCACCCAGCTGCTACTGCTTCCCTCTCAGTTCCTATCAAAGCAGTAAAGGTTTCACAGGACTGCACAGAGCCATGTGACTGTCACATGACTGTCCAAGGACTATCACACAAGACCTTAAAACGAGATTGTAACTTTGGTTTATGCTTCTAAGTTTAGAAATGAAACATTTTACCTGCATATTTTTCTGTATTAAAAAATTTAAGTTAGCTATATAAATATGCACTATAGTGTGACAATGGAAAGCTGACCTCAAGACAACCTGCTCACACCCTTTTAGTGTATAAAATATCATGAAGAAGCAATGAATGAGGGAAAAATGAAAACATATAATATGTAACATTAACCTTTACAGTTTAATAAAGTGCAAATGACAAACAATAAGGAGATCTATGGTCAACACAGTAGTAAACACGTGTTCACGTGCACACACACAAATTTAAAGACAATTTAAAATTGGTATGACTTCAAAATAATTTTTACATTTCACAAATTGTGCTCATTTCGCACAATGCTCTGCAACGTCTTTGTGCATTTTACACACATGCATGTTTGAAGCGTCAATATTTTTACATTATAACACTGTAGTGATTAATTTAAAGTCTTATTATGTGTTAAAACAACAGAGAGCAGTTATCGTGTATAAACTGCAGATTCAGTACACTGAAGTCATATTCTCACAGGATGTGGAATTGTTGAATTGGTGCCACAGTCAATATACTCAAAGGTCTCCACGGACAGCTGCTCCGTGTGCGAGAGATACGAAATATTCATTGTCATTCTGAAAAAAGAAAAAAACATCTTTGTTACATTTTCATATTTCACGTCTGTGCTAATTTTTTTTGACTTCGTTATAATTCTGGATTTATTGATGGGCGTTCCCTTCAACTCTAGGAGCATTTTAGTGTCTTTTAGCTGTTACATCCAAACTGATTCTCTCATTGGCTTTGTTTTCAGCCACATCAGCCAAAAGAGCTGCAATAAACCCGCTGTGCTCTGCGTAGCCAGCAATAAACAGCTGACAGACAAAGCTAGCAACCAGCTCGTGAGTCTTTCCAAACAAATCAAACAAATCTAAGATGAAATAAAATCCCACCTGACCATCCAAAGAATCAGCTGATTCTTTTTCTAGGGCACAAACTTTGGCATGCCTTCATTAAAATACCAAAATCCAGAGTGTCAAAATAGGACTATATAAGAAATTATTTTTGCACAGAAGGATCCAAAATGAAGATAAAAGGAAGAGTTTTCATTTTCTGCAGCTTGTTTTGAACAGCCACCCATCCCGTACAGTGACATGATCCTTTGCATTCACTTTTCAAAGGTTTCTGCAGTGAATTATCAGAAAACAGATAAATCACCCAGATTACCAATGCTTTTTGTCTGTTTCTGTACATCACAGACATTAAGTTGGTGCAGTTTTGCTGTTGAAACTGCGATATATCGCACGTTACTGATGCTCAAATGCTGAGCAAAAATGTGATTCCTGTGGATAGCTCTCGTTCTTATGAAGTGGTGAGGACTGAAAAATGCTCGAAAATACACTCATCAGCCACTTTTTTAAGTACAAATGTTCAACTGCTCTTTGACCCAATATCACAGCAGCATTTAAGCATGTGGACATGGTTAAGATGACCTGCTGAAGTTCACACTGAGCATCAGAATATAGAAGAAAGCTGCTTTAAGATGCTCCCTTATTCACAAGGCTTCTCACAGCAGGTAGCTCCATGTTTTAAGTTGGCAGATTTCTTTTTATGCCAAATCTCCCCAAAGGGATTTCTGTCTCTTCCCAGGATTAAACGGAGGATCTGTTACTCGGGTGAATTTGTAAACCACTACACTACGGAGCCACCAACATCTGAACAAATTGCTTTGAATGTAGCATATTTGTTGGAGCCAGATGTTACTAGGATTTTTTTTTTTTAAATGAACATCTGTAAGGTTTACAGAGAATGGTTGAAAAATGAGAAAATATCAAGTGTGCAGCAGTTCTATAGATGAAAATGCCTTTTTACTGCCACACGTCAGAGACAAATGGTCAGACTGGAAGAGAGCTGTAATTCAAAATCATTCGTTAAAATCTACCAAGGTGTGCATGAAGGCACCTCTGACTGTGCAACAGACCACATATTGAAGCAGATGGGATACCACAGCAGCCCAAAAGGTGTGCTACCGAGCTACCCTGCTACCCAGTGTGGCACAATCCACACTGGAGTTTAACTGAGAACGGGCAACTGAGGCTACCATTCCCACCAAAATTGGACCACAGAGGACAAACATTGCCTGGTCTGATGAGTTTCGGTTCCTGCTGTTACATTCACGTGGTAGAGTCACAATTTGGTGTAAACAACATGAAAGGATGAACGCATGGATCCATCCTGACTTATATCAACACAGTGGTGTAGAGGATAGTTTCTTGTTATACTTTGGGCCCCTTGGTAACAATCGAGCACCATTTAAATGCCTACATGAATATTGTTGCTGACCATCACCATGACTGTGACGAATGCTGTTTGGTTCCTTTTTTTAAACAACTTAAAAACAACATGTACATGTAGTCAGTACAATCTATTTGAACTTTATTCTGTCCATCTATTTATGAAACTCGGGGTAGTACGCGAGGGGGCTGGAGCCCACCCCAGAATATCATAAGGTACACATCTGGACAATTCACCATTTTCTCACACAGCTAACAGACAAGCGCACAACCATTCACACCCACCGCCAGTTTTAAATCATACATGAACCTAAACCCACGAATCTCCCCACACAGAAAGGTCCTGGTTAGCCGGTAGATTCAAACATAGGACATTCTTGCCACCACACCACTGTGCTACCTGTCTCTTAATTAGTCCAGTTAGCATCAAAGTTCTGAGCCACTGAAATCACTGAATGAGCACATTTCTCTCGAACGCATTTAAGGTAAAAAGCAGCTCCTCAATAGCAGCACTGTGACTGTCCTGTGGTTTAATTCCAAGTTCACTGAATTTCAAAGGAAAAACTGGACTTCCAGGAAGACCTTTCATGTCCTTCAGATTAAAAGATTCGACTTTGGCTTTGTGAAGAAAAATAATTTTGTGGTTGTGGTTTTTTGTGTACAGCGGAAAAGTGAAGCTTTTAACATTGTGGGTTTAAAAAACTCAAAAGTGTCTCTGCCTCTTCCGCTGACAGAGGTTGACACTTACTGAAGCTCCAGAAATAAGGTGTGAATCTTGATGC